CCAAATCTGTATCTTAAACCTCAGCCTTGCTTTAAGCAACTGTTCTCTATATTCAGTTACTTATGTCTCATCAGTAGCTCTGACTCACAGTTTGTAGAACTGGAAAGACTCAGTACCCACTGGAGGATTTGTAGTGCAGATTAGGCAGCAAGGAGAACTTGCCGATAGAGTCAGAGAGGAGCAGCAGTGAAAGTAGACATCCTGTGTGTTTGGAAAGGGTGCAGAGAGAGAACAGATGGCCTGTTGGGACATTGCAGCCGCAGCGGTTGTAGTCTGAAGCAGCTTAGGACAAAACCAACCACAAGAGTCTTAGGTGCTATCAGAGCAACTGAAGCCACAATAGCAAAGTGTCTCTCCTGTCCTTGTTTTAAAATTTCTGTTCTGGTCTTTCCCTGTTAGGGGAGTAGGCAACCTGATAGATGTGTTTCATTTTCTTTCCTGCCCTGATGCTTTGTCCTGCTTTGGCCTTGGGGGAAAATATCCTAACTTTCCTGTATTAAGAGAAAAGTGATAGAGGATGATCTAATTCTAATAATATTAGAGTCAGACTCCCTCGGACCTTGCAGTCCACTGTCCTGCTTAGCCCGTTGTAACGTGGTCGAGTAGTGCAGTCTTGATCTAAATTCCTGCGACACTGGTCTGCCTCCATGGTCATGACTTTGTCCATGTCAAAGTCAGAAGTAAAGAGGTCAATTAAAACATCAGCTTATCCACAACCTTGACATCTAATCATGGTCTCCCTCATGCGATCAGAGTTTGCCTATCAACAGTGTCTTTTGGGAAAAGGTATATCCCAGCTGAATGTAGCTCTGGTAATTAAAGGATAAAGACTTATGGGGAAAATGTTTGTTTATAAAGAACCTTAATCAGGTTCTGAGAAATTTGGGGAGCAGGCATTGCAGCTGCTTGGGAAGGCTGGGACAGAGTTGTCATCCTTCTCATTTCACATTCCAGACAATTTATATACACCCAATAACCTTCAGGACCATATGGGTCATATTTAATGTTGGTCCTTTTGAGCTAGTGATTAGAGATGAGGATGCACTTTGCATGATTGGCACATCACAGCCATTTGTTACAATAACTTGGTTGCCAGGTGTACCCCCGCTTCAATTCAGAAACAAGCTACTTGTTCTGTCTTCTTGGGAATGGTCAGTTCCATGTCTAACTTGAGAGCCTTTGGTGAGGCAAGTACCCAGCAATCCTTAGTGACTCAACATTGAAACTTGTAAGGAGATTGATATACTAAAGCAGCTCAGTGAGCATTCTGACAAAGATGGAAAAGAAAAATTGCCTCTTTCCACCTTATATTTCATTTCCCACATTGTCACCACTTAAGATCAAACTTGTGTTTCAGAAATTTGACAGCACTCCATAGCTTACAAACCTTTGCCACAGTTTACAGGATTAAAAAAATGTTTATACTCAGTATTGAATCATTCAAGCTCTTGTATAATTGGACTTTTACAGTTTCAGCTGATGTCAAGAAGTAAAAATTAGCCTATAAACAAGTCAAGTTGTAGCTCTTTGTACACAAAATTTCTCATCTCCTTAAATCTGCCATGCTTTTTCTCCTCTCTCAATATATAAGCTATTATCTTTACCTAGAATGTCCTTCTTTCATTGGAAAATTCCAGCTTTTTGTGCAAGATTTAACTCAAATGCTATCATCTCTGTGAAGTCACCTATAATTTTCTCAGGCATCAGGATCTCACATCTCATCCTTTTCCAGCACCTCTGATTTTATGTTTACATATTGGTATCCTCAACTGGACTCTAAGCCAGAGCTTAGCAAACTTTTTCTGCAGAAGGCCAGAGAGTAAATTTTCAGGCTTTGTGGGCCATACAGTTTTTGTTGCAACTACTCGATTCTGTCATTGTAGTAAGAAAGCAGCTATAGACAGTATGTAAACAATGAATGTGGCTGTGTTCCAATAAAACTTTATTTACAAAAATCTGATGGGCTGGAAATGACCTGGGGGCCGTAGTTTGCCAATCCCTGCTCCGTGCTCTTGAGGGTACAATCTGAGTCTTCTTATTGCTTTTTTAATCTCCAGCACCAGGCACAATGTCCTTGGTAGACCCTCCGTAAGTGTTTGCTGAAGGAATAATGACAAAAAATTGACAACCAAACAGGTTATACAAAGTGATATAATACTTTTTTTTTGTTCACTTCAAAGTTGTTTAAATTGAGACAAAAAAGGTTTTTTTTATTAATATAGATATGTTTGAAGAAAGATGTATAAAAACAATAAAATCAGAAGGAAATAACACATTTTAATGATTTATATCAGATGGAAGTAAATGGTTCTCTTTCCAAGGAAGAAAGTGTGAAATTAAAAATAATGTTTTTAAAGGAATTAAAGTGGATATGCTAATGAAATAGCAGTATCTCTTCTTATGACTCAGATTTAATATGCTGTTTTTTTCTGTTTCGTCTTTCCTAAGGTGAAAAATGTTCCCTTATTTGATTATCAGAAAATGATTGATTTGGCACCCAGCACTCCTGCTATTAAACTGATAAGAACGGATCATATCCTTTAGATGGGCCCAGGGTAGGAGAAGGTGGCGAGCCACAGGACTTAGATCTTCCACAGTTAAAAGACTTCTTCTTTTTTTCTAGATTGATTTGGAATCGAATCCACAGAACAGAAGTCCTGAATCACGCCCTGGTGTTGTTTATCCCAATACCAAATTTCATCGCAAAGATAATCTCAACCCAAGACACATAAATCTTCCTCTTCCTGCCCCCCATGCACAGTATGCAATTCCTAATCGTCATTTTCATCCCCTTCCTCAGCTGCCAAGACCACCCTTTCCAATTCCACAGCAGCACGCCTTGTTAAATCAGCAGCAGAATAATTTGCCTGAACAGCCAAATCAAATGCCACCCCAGCCAAATCAGGTAGTCCAGCAGCAGAATCCGCTGAATCAGCTGACTCCGCAGCCGCCTCCTCAGCTTTCTCCTGCCTACCAGGCAGGCCCCAGCAGCGCTTTTTTCAATAATGCAGTTTCTCATCGACCACAGTCCCCTCCTGCAGAGGCTGTCATTCCTGAGCAGCAGCCCCCTCCCCTGCTGCAGGAGGGCCACAGTCCTCTGCGAGCTGTCGCGCAGCCCGGCCCCATTCTTCCTTCACATCTGAATAACTTCACTGATGAGAACCCCCCGGGACTGCCTATAGGGGAGGCTCTAGGTAAGTTCTCCTGTCACTGCTGGATGTGACAGATTCAGAGATCATTTACTTAAATAACATGTAGTATACAATATTAATTTGAGTCAGGATTGATTGATTTCCTTAAATAGTGTCAGCAAAAAAACCAGTCACTTAGTGTAACAATCAGAATCTGGTTCCTAATGCTGTATAATATAAAGCGTCCGGTTGATGCCAGGTTACACTGTAACGTAGGTAAGGAAGGATCCTCATCATTACTCTAACTTTAGTTACTGGCAAGTTTAGAAAACATTGCTGTCTCCAAAACTCAAGTTGTAGCCATTTCTTTGTGGGCAAAATCTGCTTGTAAAAATTCTTGCAAAAATTAACCGGACACCCCCAAATGCTGAAAACTTAAACTCCTCTCGTATGTTTTTGCAGATCGTATGCATGGAAGTGTAGCTCTGGAAACGTTAAGGCAGCAGCAAGTGCGGTTACAGCAGTGGAATGAGCATCATCATGCCTATCTCAGTCAGGGCAGCATTCCTTACCCACACCATCACCACCCTCACCCTCACCTCCAGCATCTTCCCCAGCCGCCCGTTGGATTACATCCGCCACCAGTGAGAGCAGACTGGAAGCTCCCCAGCAGTGCTGAAGATGAAGCAGAAACAACAGACTCAAGGTATTTTCAGCAGACCAAAAATAGTCTCTGAATGAAACATGACCCCTTTACTGTTTTCTTTCTTGAGTGTTGTCTTTTTTTGCCTGAAATTGAACTATTATCCTAAGGAAATTGGATGCCAGCCTTCTAGGCACATGTACAGTTCTGTTGATTGACTCCAAAATAGAGAATATCCACTGAGCAGTAACTTTTGTGTGAACCTAGGCGATCTGGGTGATCTGCTGTGGATTGTAAATTAATGCAGCTCCTTGCTTTGCAGTCTCTTCTGAAAGAGGAATGTGCCATCACTGTGGATGTTTTTTTTTTCACATTCGGTAGTAATACAAAGAATGAATGAGGGTGAAATTAAATTAGTGATTAAAAGCTAAAAATTATACATTTACCAATTTTTTTCTAGCAGCACAAAATTCTACCTTCTTTTAAGCACTAATGTTTATGAGTGTTCAGTCCTCATTCTAAACTTGTGTTTTTGGTGTGCAATGTGAACACAATGAAGTGTTTCCCAGTCCCTTCTGATGAAGGTCTGCCATTATGGTGACCAGTTACGAAACACATGTAAAGACAAGGACAGTTGTTTTTAATATCAAGAAAAAGAAAGAAATCAAATAGTTGGGCATATTTAGTGTCTTCAATTCAGCATCTATTGAGTGTTAATGCTGCCTCTTGAGATGAATTAATACTAGTTCTAATTAAGTATCATGCTTTTTGTTTGTAAAAAATTACACATTGTTGACTAAGCTCTCCTTAATGTGATGGAGCTTTCTTTTGTTTTCTCCTTTCCTATTTCATCATGCTTATGTAGGTTTCAAGACTTAATCAGAGAACTGTCTAATCGTGATCAAAGTGAAACACGGGAACTAGCTGAAATGCCACCACCTCAATCGAGACTTTTGCAATATAGACAAATTCAGACTAGGAGCCCACCAGCAGTCCCATCTTCCCCGTCTAATACAGACCACAGTACCCACTTTTCTAACTTTAATGACAGCAGCAGAGACGTTGAAGTAGCCAACAACCCAGCATTTCCACAGCGCCTGCCGCCCCAGATGTTCAGCTCACCTTTCTCGTTGCCATCTGAACACCTTGCCCCTCCTCCCTTGAAATACCTGGCACCTGATGGAGCATGGACTTTTGCTAATTTACAACAGAATCACCTAATGGGGCCGGGTTTTCCCTATGGCCTACCTCCATTGCCTCACAGGCCTCCGCAGAACCCTTTTGTACAAATACAGAGTCATCAACATGCTGTTGGTCAAGAGCCTTTTCACCCGTTGTCATCTCGAACAGTGTCATCTTCTTCGCTCCCTAGCTTAGAAGAGGTAAATGTCTTTCTCTTCCTTTTCTCCTTTCAGGATTAGTTGATTGTGGAAATATCAATGTTTATTGGTTTGGTAACGATAGTGGACAGACCTTATTGAATTTAATAGTCTTGTAAAGATAATCTTTCCTTGGACTTTATTTTATTTTTCAGCTTCATTTTATTTATTTTTTAAAATTAATTAATTTATGTGACATGCCATTGATTTACCCTGTTGCATTTCAGGTATACAGCAAAGTGATTCAGTTATTTTCACATTATTTTCCGTTATAGGTTATTGCAAGATATTGAATCTTCTTTCTTGTGTTAAACAGTAAATCCTTGTTACTTATCTATTTTATATATAGTAGTTTGTATCTGTTACTCCCGTACTCCTAGTTTATCCCCGCCCCTTCCCTTTCCCTTTCGGTAACTGTAAGTTTGTTTCTATGTCTGTGAGTCTGTTTTGTGTGTAGATTCATTTGTATTATTTTTTAGATTCCACATATAAGTGATATCATGTAGTATTTTTCTTTCTCTTTCTGGCTTACTTCACTTTAAATGACGATCTATAGGTCCAG